CTCCCTCCCCTCGCTACCCCCCTTCCCTCCCTCACGTCCTCCCCACCCCCTATGGGCTACCCTACCTCCCTCCCTCCTTCATTCTTTCCCCACGCCTCCCCTACCTTCTCCCCCATCCCCTCCCTTCCACGACCTACCCTAACCCCCTCCCTCCCCTTTTCTTCTCTGTCTCCCCTCCTCTCTCCTCCCTCCCCCTCCACTCCTTCTCCCTTCCCTCCCCTCCCCCTCTACTCCTTCTCCCTTCCTCCCCTTCCTTTCCCTCTACTTCTTCTCCCTTTCCCCCCCTCTACTCCTCCTTCCCCTACTCTTTCTCCCTTCCTCCACCCTCCCTCCTCCTCTACTTCGTCTCCCTTCCCTCCTCCTCCTCCCTCCTCTCTCCCCCTTCCCTCCCCTTCCCCTCCCCCCAATCCTGACACAAGAGTAGCGGTCTCACTTAAGGCAGAGAGATAACCCTAAGAATGCAGTCACGACATCTCACTTTTTTTCGAAACCCTTGATTTAACATGATCGTGTCCGTGTTCTTGACATGATATATCTGGAGGTAAGAAACGTACATGCAAGCGCTAACGTACGAACGCATACCCACACGTACAGTCATCTGTGCATGGCGCGCATCTGAACACATTTAGACGGCTAGCACATGCAGGCACGCATATATTCATGCATATCACAGATATATACAAATGCAATCACATCTACACACACACACACACACACACACACGCACACGGCACACGCACACACACACGCACACGCACACACACACACGCACAAACACATACAATAAAATGCACACACGATAAAACACACGCACATACAAAAGCACGCAAGCAATATTAGCTACACTTGATACAAAAACCTGTACTCAGCACACCCTCTCCCTCCCTCCCTCCCTCCCTCCTCCCCTCTCCTCACCACCACATCTCTGTTTGTTTCTTTACTTAGTTCATCGAAATAGAAAAAATAAAGACAAAATATGAAATAACGAAAAGAAGAAGACATAACCACACTTACATATAGTATGAACCGTAATAATAGCAATAATAATGATGATGAAATTGTTAATAATAATAATGATAGTTGTTCGGATGATGGTCGTAATAATGACAAAAATAAACATGACGTTAGTAAAGCCAGAAAAACATAAACAACAAAGACAGAGCAACAACAAGGACATAAATATGTACACAGAGTAATTAATGCTCGTGTGCGCGCGCGCGTGTTTTCTACCGCTCGACCACAAAACAACATCCCTTCCTGGGTCCAATTTTTTCATCTTCAATTCTCGTTTTGTTTTTCAGACTTATTTCAACCTCTGTTCTTTCTCCTCTTTCTTTCTTTCTTTCTCTCTCTCTCTCTCTCTCTCTCTCTCTCTCTCTCTCTCTCTCTCTCTCTCTCTCTCTCTCTCTCTCTCTCTCTCTCTCTCTCTCTCTCTCTCTCTCTCCTCTCTCTCTCTCTCTCTCTCTCTCTCTCTCTCTGTCTGTCTGTCTGTCTGTGACTGACTGACTGACTGACTGACTGACTGACTGACTGACTGACTGACTGACTGACTGACTGACTGACTGACTGACTGACTGACTGACTGACTGACTGTCTGTCTGTCTAACACGGATTATTATTGTTTTGCATTCTGTCATGTCTGCTTTCCTTCGGTTGCAAGATGCCGCCACACGAGGAACACAGTCCACTTGTTGACGTCATTGTTGCTAATAAAATCTTTCATAATTAATGTCAAAATCAGGGAATTAACAATTTCGCAATGTGTCCCCTCCAAGGCCATGAGAACTACTGGATTATGTGACTTTTATTCACTTAAATAAACTTTTTTCCTTTTGTATTTTTTGCAGCGAAGAAAACGGTCTTGAGGATCAAGTTTCTGAGATCAATTCACTCTTTTTTTTCTTGCTTTCAAATGTGATTCTTATCCTTTCTTATTTCTTTTCGCCTTCTGCTATTATCGTCTTTTTAACTTGGATAATCTTGACGGAGAACAATGTCCCTAAAAAAAAAAAAAAAAAAAAATAAAAATAAAAATAAATAAACAAATAATAAAAAGTAAATAAATAAATAAACAATAAACGCGCTAAGCAACAGAAAACGGGATGAAATGACGCAATCTCGAAATAGTCTCAGAGAGAATAAAAAAACAGTGAGAGAAAAAAAACAAAACACAACAAGCATATGTCTAAATAATCTTAATATCGCGCTATACACTTAACTGTAATTTCGCGACCTTGAAAACAAGCGCCGAGCGACAGAAGCAAAAAAAAAAAAAAAAAAAAAAAAAAAACAGAAGCAATTTCGCTGTAATTTCGCGACCTTGAAAACAAGCGCCGAGCGACAGAGGCAGATATTTCAATTGTGTCATTCAAAGAACTATATATCTGGAGATCCGCCTTCGCTGTTGAAGACGTGGGTGCGTGGGCGTGCGCGGGCGTGCGTGAGTGCCACAGAAAAATCCTTGATGTAAAATGATGAAGCATAAATAATAATTGCTGTGTTGCGGGCCATCGTACCACTTATTTCGGTCTCTATATTATCATAAATGTCAGTGAATATTAAATGGAAATAACTATATGAGCACAAGTGTCTGTTTCTGTGCGGAGCGAGAAGTAATTACTTTGTGGTAAATGCTCTAAAAAAACATGACGATGCAACCTCTCTTTCTCTCTCTATCTATCTTCTTATCTATCTTATTATCTATCTATATTATATATCATCTATCTTCTATCTCTCATTCTTCTCTTCTCTCTCTCGCTTACTCTTTTTCTCTCCTCTCTTTCTCTTTTTTCTCTTCTCTCTCTCCTTCTCTCTTCTCTCTCTCTTTTTCTCTTCTCTTCTCTTCTCTTCTTTTCTCTTCTCTCTCTCTCTCTCTCTCTCTCTCTCTCTCTCTCTCTCTCTCTCTCTCTCTCTCTCTCTCTCTCTCTCTCTCTCTCTCTCTCTCTCTCTCTCTCTCTCTCTCTCTCCACAATCCTTTTTATCAGCGCACTAATGAAAATCCTTATCTTAATCCGACGGGACAGCAATTAATTTCTTAGTCCTCTTAATTATGAAAAACGACCACAAAAAAAATGTTTTATTATGTCTCTCTCTCTCTTTCTAAAGGAAATCGTATCTTTGACATTGGGATTCTCAATCTGGGATAAAACGCAAATTTAATAATCAATTTTATTACATCTTATTCACTTATAAGGACACATCTGTATAAGGAGAATCACCATCGCAACTATTGGGATAAAGTATTTTGATTTCTCTCTCTCTCTCTTTTCTCTTTTCTACCCACCTCTCTCCTTCACGCTCTCTTTCTCTCTGTCTCTGTCTCTGTCTGTCTGTCTGTCTCTGTCTCTCTCTCTAACTATGTGTCTGTCTGTTTCTCTCTCTCTATCTATCTATCTCTTCCAATCCCGTCCCTCTCTATCTCCCTTAATCTTCCTCTCACCCCGCCCTCCCTTCCTCTCTCCCTCCCTCCCCCATTCTCTCCCTGACAGCTGGATAAGATATGACACATCTTATCAGTCCTTATCTCTCTTATCGGTCCCGTCAAAGAAAACAGTCATGTGTCCGGATGTGCTCTCACGGCTTCAGCTCGGCTTTGGAAGGCTGGCCGGCTGTTATCGTCTCTGTTATTTTGACAATTTTATCATCATCGCTTTTACCATCATCGTGATCGTTACTGACTTTGTTATTATCATTTTTATTATCGTTGCTATTATTACTATTATTATTGTTATTATTATCATTATTGTTATCATTATCTTTATCATCATTGTTATCATTGTTATTATTGTAATCATCATTATTAATATCATGATTACTATCGTTATCATCATTATTATCATTATTACTATCATTATTATCATTATTATTATCATTATTATTATCATTATTACTATCGTTATCATTATCATTACCATTATTACTATCGTTATAATTATCATTAACATTATCATAACTGTCATTATCACTGTTCTATTACTACTACCATTACAGCTAGCACAGTAATTATTATCACCATTACTTTTATAATAATGATTATTATCATTATTATAAGTATCATTACTATTAATATTACTCTTACCACCATCATTATCATCATCATTTTCCATTTTCATTATCATCACTGCCATTGTAACTCATCATTATCACATTCCGTGTGCGTTTACGTGTAACACTATGGTTAGCGGGCGCACGTGTTAAGTTGTTGTGTCTGTTTGTTTGTGTGTGTCTGTTTATTTGTTTTTGTGTGTATGTCTTTGTTTGTTTGTTCGTGTGTGTGTCTGTTTGTTTGTTCGTTGTGTGTCTGTTTGTTTGTTTGTTTATAAGTATGTCTTTGTTTGTTTGTTTGATTGCGTGTGTATGTGTCTATTTGTTTGTTTGTTTGATTGAGTGTGTGTGTGTGAGTGTGAGTGTGTGGTGTGTGTGTGTGTGTGTGTGGTGTGTGTGTGTGTGTGTGTGTGTGTGTGTGTGTGTGTGTGTGTGTGTGTGTGTGTGTGTGTGTGTGTGTGTGTGTGTGTGTGTGGTGTGGTGTGCATATATGTGTGTATCTGTTTGTGTGTTTGTCTGTTTATGTGTTATGTACGTGTTTGTTTGTGTGTGTGCGTCCGCATAACTTTCCGCACAGTCCAGTACGTTCTGACACGAACGACCACGAAGCCACGAACGGAAAGGCGCCACACTTTCTTGGCAACAACGGATTCCACTACACTTGTCACACACCGCGTCACCGGACAGATATAGATAAAAAAAAAAAAAAAAAAACGTATATACCCCCTCCTCTATACACAAATATAATCCGAGAGTTCGTAGGTATGAGGAGGGGGAGGGGGTGTAGACCAGGGTGGGGGGGAGGGAGGGGGAGTGATCAAAGGGGTAAGGTGGGTTGACAGAGGGGAAGGGGGAGGGTAAGGGGAGGGAAAGAGTAGACAAAGGGAGTAGACCAGGGAGGAGGAGGAGGAGGGGGGGGAGAGGAAGGGGCGGGGGGGGGGGGTGAGGCGACGCACATGCGCAGTGAGACGGAGCGAGACTGCGCAGAGAGCACGTCCGCGCGAGGGGCAGGTCAGAGCGGAGACTGGGGGTGGCGTTCGAGGCTGCGGTACACACCCTGTGCTCACGTGACCTTGTGATGCTGCCCTCCCTGTCCCCTGGCCGTGGCCCTCCCTCCCCCTCCCTCCCTCCCTCTTGCCTATTTCTCCCTTCCTCTTTCCTCCTTTTCTTCCTCTCCCCTCTTCTCTATTCCCTTTACCTATTTCTCCCTTCCTCTCCCTCTCCCTATATCTCCCTTTCCCGTCTTTCTCTCCCTCCATCTCCCTTCCTCTCCCTTTATCCCCCAATATCTCCTTTTCCCTTGTTCTTGCTCTCCCTTCATCATCCTCTCTCACCTTTTCCTCTTTCTTCTCCTCTCTTTTCTTCCCCCTTTCTCCCCTCCTCCCTCCATCTCCCGATTTCTCCCTCTTCCGTTTTCTATCTCTATCCCTATTTCTCCCCCTTATTCTCCTTCCCTCCATCCTCCCCCCCCCTCCCATTTTCATCCTCTTCCTCCCCATACCCCCCCCCCCCCACCTCCCTTTTCCATCCACCTGTCTATTCCATTTATCCTCCTTATCCTCTGCTTTATCTCCGCTGCGTGTGTACTTTTTCTTAATCTGGATTGATGGAGGATTTACCCCCCTCTTTATCCCCCCTCCCCCTCCCCCATTCACCTGGTCTATACCTATTTTTTTTTCTTTACTTTCTCCTTTTTATGTGGCTTTTATTTCTTTCTTTTTCTTTCTCTCTGCTTGGGATGCCTGCGTTTGACTCCCTTTTCTCTGTCTGTTTGTCTGCATCTCTCTTCTCCTCCCTTCTTCTCTTCCTACTTCCTTCTTCCTTCCTTCCCTCCACTTCCTCCCTCTTTCTTCCTCCTCCCCTCTTCCTCCCTCCTCCTTCCTCCCTCCTCCTCCCTCCTCCTTCCTTCCTCCTCTTCCTCCTCCCTTCTTCCTTCCTTCCTTCCTCCTTCCTTCCTCCTCTTCCTCCCTTTTTCCTCCTTCCCTCCTCTTCCTTCTTCCCCCCCTTCTCTTCGCCTTGCTCCCCCGCCTCCCCCCCCCCTCGTTCCCCAGACGCACCTTGCACTAAGCCTTGCATTTTGTTTCCATATTTATACTACGCTCGGGGGGCCTCCTCCGCCCCGTGCCCCCCCCCCTCCCCCTCCTCTCTTCTCCCTCCCTCCTCTCTCTCTCCTCTCCTTCTCCCCCTTCCCTCCCTCCTCCTCTCTCTTCCCCTTCCCCCTCCTTCCTCCTTTCTCCCCTCTCCCCTTCCTCCGCCTCTCTTCCCCGTTCCCCCTCCTCCTCTCTCCCCTTCCCCTCGTTCCTCCTCTTCCTCCTTCCCCCTCCTCCTCCTCCCCCCCTTCCTCTTCATTTTTTTTCTCTCTCGTACTCTTCTCTCTTCTGATAATTATGTCTTATCTTTTTCTTGTTCTTCCTTCTCTTCATCTTATCTCTTCCTGTTTCTCTTCCTCATTCGCCTGCTCTTCTTCCACTTCTTCCTACTCCTCTTCTACTTCCTCTTCCTTCCTCCCCCTTCTTCTCCCTTTTATTTTCCTCCTCCTCCTTATATTCCTCCTTCTCATCCTATCCTGACCTTGGCATTTGGCGCTAATGTTTTTGGAATCAGAAGAAAAACAAGATATATATATGTCATAATCATATTTTCTTCTGTATATTCTTCTTTTCTTCTTTCTTTCTACTCTCTTTGTTTCTTCTTCATTTCTTTGTACGCGACCACATTTCTGTATCTCTTATCACTTTTTTTTCTATATGTCTTCCGTTCTCACTTTCTCTTTGGTTCTCTCTTTTTCTCTTTATTCTTTCTTTCTGCTTTTGTTTCTTCTCTCACTCTCTTACTTTCTACCTTCTTCCTCCTCTCTTCCTCCTACGCCATCCCCTCCCCTTTCTAGTGCGCTCGCTCCCCCCCAAGCACCTCCTCCTGTTATACCCTCTTCCCTCCCCTCCCTTCTTCCCTCCCTCCCTCTCTCTCTTTCTCTCTCTCTTCTCTCTTTCTCCCTTTTCCTTTCTCTTTTCTCTCTCTCTCCTCCCTCCCTCCCTCCCTCCCTCCCTCCCTCCTCCCTCCCTCCCTCCCTCCCTCCCTCCCTCCCTCCTCCTCCCTCCTCCTCCCTCCCCTCCCTCCCTCTCCTCCCTCCCCTCCCTCCCTCCCCCCTCCCTCCTCCCTCCCTCCCTCCCTCCCCCTTCGGACGCCCCCAGCGTAGCGGTAGTCAAGGTGAAGACCAAAGGGTGGAACAGGAAATAAAGAAGGAAAAAAAAAAGAATAGGAAAAAGACAATTGCGAAAATCCAAGGGAAAAAAAGGGAAGAGGAAGAAGCAAATTAGATAATCATGCAAATAAGAAAGAACGAAATGGAAGATCAAGATGATTACGTAAATGATAATAATAATAAAGACGAGAGTGCCTCATGGTAACGAACTCTGGTCGAAAACAATACTTCCCTTTTCCTTGTTTTCAGTAAAAGCTTTTTATTTTTATGTCCCCATTTTTTCAACTTTTTTTCCCCCCGACCTGTTTGTTCGCGCTCTAATCACTTTAGCCCCGAATGCGTGACTGGCGGGGGGGGGGGGGGGGTAGGTACATCTGTCTGTCTGGCTAGTGTCTGTCTGTCTGTCTGCTTATTTGTTGTTCGTTTGCTTTTCTGTCTTTTTGTATTTTGTATTTTTGTCTGTCTGTGTTGATTGATGCATTTGTCTGTCTGTCTATGATTCGTTTTTTATTTCTGTCTGTCTATTATATTTATATATCGGGCCAACTATCTGCTGTCTATTTGTTCTTCTTCCTCTACATAACAATACCTATCTACCTATCTATCGATGTATGTCATTCACCATTACCTATCGACCGCCCATTCTAGCTCTCAATACCTTATAAGGAATAGGGAAACGGCACAAACAAGGAAGAAGAGGCGAGAATGAGGAAGAGAGAGAGAGAGAGAGAACGGAGACGGCAAACACGAATGACCGTGAGATTTTGCATTGGGGAAGGGGGAGGGAGGGGAGAGAGGAGGGGAGGGAGGAGAGGAGAGAGAAGGGAGGATGGGGAGGAGAAGGGTGGGGAGATGAGAGGAGGGGAGGGAGTAAAGGAGAGAGAAGGGGAGGGGAGGGAGTAAAGGAGAGAGAAGGGGAGGGGAGGAGTAAGGAGAGAGAAGGGGAGGGAAAGAGGGAGGGGAGGTAAAAAAGTTGGGTAAGGGGAGGAGAGGGGAGAGAGAGACAGAGGGAGGGGAGGGGAGGAGGAGGAGTGATATAAGAGAGGAAATAGGATTGAATGAAAGTCCGTGGAGGTGTTTTTTTCCTCTGGTTCGTCCGTGCGTGCGTGTGAGAGTTACGTCTTGACATGCGTGTGTTTTGGCCTTCTCTGTGTACATGTACGCGCGCGTGCGTGTACGTACGCCTTTCTCTGCGTACGTTCCTCAGCTCGCGCGTATAAACGTATAAACTCTACACATATTCAAGTATACCTACACACCCACCGCTCCCGTGGGCGTGCGACGAGAGGAACCAAGCAAGCGAAACCGAGACTCTGAGGGCGTGAGACTGACAGACATCCCCAAAAGGCGTGTCATAAGCAAGGCCATTATCTCTCCCGCTGCCAAAGGACATTATCGCAATATTACCTCGCTTATCAGTGTACGAGGTCCTTTAAAGAGCAGTGATTAAAAGCCTTATCTTATCGGAAGGCCTTCAGGTTTTTGCGTCTTTTTTTTAAAGAGTTATAGAAGTTATATAGTAAATTGTTGTTGAAAAATGATTCAATAATTATGTAAAAGAATGTTATAATTTTGAATGTACAAATAATAGATACATGAATATTGATAATGATCATAACAATGACATATCAACAGTAAATAATAGATAATGAATAGTAATTAAATAATAACAATAGCCATTTAGGGAAAAGGAAAAATGGAAGAGGAGGAAAGACGAGAGATAGATAGATAGAAAACGAGGAGAAAGAGAGAGAGAGAGAAAGAAGAGAGAGAGAAGAGAGAGAGAGAGAGAGAGAGAGAGAGAGAGAGAGAGAGAGAGAGAGAGAGAGAGAGAGAGAGAGAGAGAGAGAGAGAGAAGAGAGAGAGAGAGAGAGAGAGAGAAAGAGAGAGAGAGAGAGAAGAGGGACTGAGGAGGGGGGCAAGAAGATAGGAAGTGAGGTAAGTAGAGAGGGAAGGAAGGAAGGAAGGGGGAGAGGTGGAAAGATGAGGAGAGAAGAAGGGAGAGGAGGAAAAGGTAGCTAGATAGATAGACAGATAGATAAATATATATAGAGAGAGAGGGAGGAGGGGCAGACGAATGGGCGGGCTTGTTGACGTCACAGACCACGCTAGCCCAGTCACCTTGGCAGACCGGGGGGGGGGGGTGGAGTGGGAGTGGGGGCACCGGCGGAGTGGGAGGTGGGGGGGTACGGGCGGAGGGGGGCTAGCTACCTGGCACGATTTCAAGGTCACGCAGGTGCTTGTGGAGAGGGAGAGGAACAAAAGGGGGAAGAGAGAAAGGGAGGTAAAGGGAGGGAGGAATGTACGGAGAGAAAGGGGGGGGGGGGGTACAAGGGGGAATGGAGAGAGAGATGAAGAGAGAGATTAGGAGACAAAAAAGGGAAGAGGAGGAGGAGATTGGGAGAGGAGGGGAAGGAAGGGTGCGACAGACAGACAGACAGAGAGAAAGATAGATAGAAAGATATATATATTATATATATATATATATATATATATATATATATTATATATATATATATATATATATATATTATATATATAGAGAGAAGAGAGAGAGAGAGAGAGAGAGAGAGAGAGGAGAGAGAAAGAGAGAGAGAGAAGAGAGAGAGGAGAAAGAGAGGAGAGAGAGAGAAGAGAGAGAGAGAGAGAGAGAGAGAGAGAGAGAGAGAGAGAGAGAGAGAGAGAGAGAGAGAGAGAGAGAGAGAGATGAGAGGAGCGAGAGAGAGAGAGAATGAGAAGAGAGAGAGAGGGAGAGAGAGAAGGCAGCTTAGACTTGAACCATTTGAACTTGGACGACCGAGTAAAACGAGAAATCGATAATATTGAGG